CACGATGGCCGCTTTGCGCCCTCAATTTGGCTAGCCCCAACTATCAAATCGACCCGACCCGACCCGACCCGATCGCGCTAGTAGGCACCCCCTATTAGAGATTTACGCGCGCGCTGCTACGCATTCAAATCTCCACTCTCTCCACCACTCACACGCGCGTGTGGCTGCTCTGTGGTCTTAGAGAGAGAGAGAGTGAGCGAGTGATTAAAACTGGAAGGTAAAAGGTAAACAGTGCCTCAGTGGGATCAGGAAGCGGTAGAAATGGCGGTGCCTTGGACTGCAGGTTTCAGTGTTCAGCGAATGTAGTAGAATCTAGTTTTCTCTCGTGTTTGTTGGTAGAGAATAGAATACCTCTAGTTTACTATCTGGTGCATTTTTTTTATTCTTCCTTGGTGTGTGTGCTTCTCCTTCTATCGGAAGTAGCCTTTTGGCACAGTCCAGACAACAACGTAATTTTCATTCATTTGATCTGACCCAGGAGAAGGGAGTTGCGTCGACGTTCAATCATTCCTGATGGTGAGTCTAAATATAATGATATTATTATACGCTCATGATGTTAATAACGAATGTGATGACTAATTAAAAAGTAAAAAAAAGAAAAGTAAAGTTGTTCCCGCATCCGATCCGGACTTTGGGATTGCCTTGTTAGTGAGACAACGCCCTGGGCATTCGGAATATTGTGGTAGGAAGGCCAGTAAATGACTAATTAGAGGTGTAAATTGACTTTGTTATGAGCTATAGGGCTGTTGAAAGAGCAGTGTGTGATCTATGTAGCATCCGCACGATCGATCAGCGTCAGTTATTAATTGTCAATGGGAGGAGCTCCGCAGAGGGCTGGCACTTACTGCGACAAGGTCCACTGAGCAAACTATACAAGAGTTAGGGTTAGGGTTGGGGTTAAGGTTAGAGTTAACGTTAGGGTTAGGGTTGGGGTTGGGCTGGGGTTAAGGTTGAGGTTTGGGTTGGGGTTATTGGTCGGCCGGCCCTCTGCGGAACTCCTTCCTTGTCAATATTACTATTAGTGTCATGACGCGGTGGAATCAGACGCTCGTCAATTCTTGGGCATGTGGAGTTATTGGTATCAATTTAAAGCTTGTTCAATTTTCTATCCTTTGAAGAGAAAAATTTAATACTCATCTATCTTTAATAGGAGTTGAGATATTTGCAATTAAAGGAGGTAGGGTCGACGTTTTTCGGTAACATCTACTCAGAAATGCATTTTAAAAAGACATAAAAAAATGATGCGCCAAAAATAGAAAATTTGAAACAAATGTCGTTTCCGTTTAGATGTATTTGATTTATTGACGAGCGCCTGAGTTGACCACGCTTTCTCAATAGTTTCTCTTCGCGAGATCTTTGACCTGCCCAACGATTTAGTAACAATGTTTTATTCAGCTCTAAGTGTCGTTTATTCATGCTGCTCTGTTCTGTAAGAATTTATGACTGTGTGATGTCATCAATATGTACGAGGGTGTCTGGGTAAGCTTTGTGGGATCGTCTTTACTTAAGGATGTACTAGAGAGAGATAGGGGGAGAGAGAGAGAGACAGAGAGAGATAGAGACAGAGACAGAGAGACAGAGAGACAGAGAGAC